GTGATGCACCACATCTGTACATCTCATAGGCTCACTTGCACAGGCACCTCTGTAGCACTGAAAGGAAGATTACTTCTGTAGCTTCTGAAGTACTGCATCTAGTAAAAGGGAAAAGAGTAAGTACTTTGGTTTTCTATACAATGAAAAGCTTGAGCTTGGTTCCATTAAAAAATTAGCAGTCCTGCAGAACAGTTGGCTTGCTTCCCAGCTGGTGGAAAGTGGAAGAAAGTGCTTTAGCTGCTTCAGTATCAACTTGAAATTCATTTTCTTTCTCCCAGCTTGATTGGCCACTGTAGGTCATCTTAATTCAGTCATTCCTAAAGCACACTGTGCACATGGAGAGAGTATGCACAGAGTAAATGGGCTTTTCGTTCATTGGGGAAATGATTTGTGGCTATTTATAAATTAGTGCTGTAATTTGTTATTTGAATTCTGTTGCCTAGATTGAAAAAGTATCCGACAGTCAACTGGAACCCACAGTTCTATTTTAATTCCGCAGAGTAATAATTTTCTACTATTATGAAGCCTAACTCCAGTTATTATATGTATTAGTTGGTGGGGTTTTACAGCACCACAGCCAGGAACTTGCCAAGCAATAAATTGAATTGAAAGGTCTCTTTATGTCTTCAGGAAAAGCTTACATGAGATGCTTCCCTACTTAATGTAATGAAAGGAAATAATGAAGCACACAAGCTCACGAGTAACCATTAGCTTGTGCTGTTCTATATTTTAATGGTTTTATTGTGGATAACTTTCCAAACCATGCAGACTCAGATGAGTGCCTTTGCAGTTCTCTGAATCTACCTTTTAATTTACAAAAAACTCTATTCACACAGATTCTGGATTTAAATCATCACTACAGCTGCAATGCTTTAAGTTTCCCAAACCTTTGTGAATCATTGTGTGGTTTTGAACAGCCTGGATGCTGGGACATAAATATTTTTCTAATTGATCAAATGTGTTTAGATTTGTTTGGTTTGTATTTTTAACTATAAAATGTCATTTTTAGAAGTATATATTTAACTTTTAGGAAATAAGATTAATCATTTTTTTAAGGTCCTTTAACGTCTGCAAATAACTGGAAAACAGGCATTATTTTGATTTGTTGTCTCAGCCAATACAGCTTTTCTGGGCTCTGGTTATGATTTTTCTAAGTTCTCCTTCAAAAGCTCCTGAGTTTTTATTGGTGGGCAGTTAATGAGCTACCTGCCTCCTTGCTTAAGTTTGGGCTACTTACATCTGAGACAAAAGAATCTGATACATCTGAGTAGATAAGGAAAAAGGCAGAAAACCAAATGTGGCAGCGATCAAAAGCTTGAAGTATAATTTGGAGCCTTTTTAAATGTAATTCTAGGAGAGGAACGGTGACTCAGAGCTGCCAGGGACTGCTTGGGGCGGGCAGGCAGCCACAGTTAATGGGTTTCTAGCTGGGTCTGCAGTCCTGCAGAGCTTGAGATTTTGAGGAACTGTTCATAAAAGGTTCCCCTATGCACCTCTAGTAACTAAAACTTCCTGAATGTCTGAGTTTCACTCAAATTTCACTCAGATTTCTTGAGAACACAAAGCTAGATTGGGTACAGAGGCATATTCATGTACACTGACAGGGTGCAACCTGTACAGCCTGTAGACTAACAGGCGCAGAGAAACAAGTAAAATGCATCCATGTAGGATTGCTGGTTAGCCCAAATTGGCCTTGGTGCTAAACATGCTGTTGTAAAATGGCATCCAGGGTTGCAGAGGCACGTGTGGCTGAGGAGAAGCACAGCAGCACCAGGGTGCTTGATACTCATGTAGGAGCAGAACCCCAGGCTGCTAGCTCACATTGAGTTTCTCATCAACCAACATAAACACATGGAGTGGATGGACCATTGGAGACCTCTGGGCTTATTCAGATACTGTGTTTTCCCCAATACTTTGGCTGCCAGGTCCACACTTTACCATCAAAATGTGCTTTACAAGTGTATGTATCTGTTATGGTTGTATAACTTTGTGACTTTAAGGAAAAGCATGGCGCTGTGGACCTATTAATGCCACTTCACTCCATTTAGTTTAGGGTCTGCTCAGGGGATTCCGGTTATACGAAATGCGGTATTTTCCTAGCGTGCCACTGAATTAAGGATTTTTTTTCCTTTGGAATTTGCTACTTTGCTGAAGCCAGGTGCCTGATATTTTTTCTGACAGTCCTTCGTGGAGACAAGAAATCTCCTAGCAGCTGCTTCTTATTTTAGGCTGTTCCTCTGGGGAGCAGCTAATTGGCTTACAAGGCTGAGAACGAAGAGTTGGGTTTTGGCACTAGCGTGCCTGGCACAAGATAAGCATTGAAAACATTGTATGAGCATGAGGCTGCCAAGCAGATCCTGGTAACAGAGAGGAGAGCAGAAGAGGAAAGCAACATCTGCAGTCACTGGGCAGTTCTGACCCAGTGTGAGCTTTCCAAAGGTGCCCTATGATAACTCAGGTAACTGTGAGCTGTAAATGAAGGTTGTTTGTTTTTTTTTTTGCTAGAAATCGAGTGATGCTCCATCTAGGTGCCCTTAGTCGTGATGCTTGTGAAGATTTGTGTGGTGGTGAGGAATGTCTTGGGCATCAGGAGCATTTCAAGTAGCCCAAGTGGGCACGGGGCAGCCATCACAGGCTGCCATGCTCCTCATGTGGCACCTCTGTTCCTGCTGAAGGCACAGTAGTGTGGGAAGGACTTCTGGTGTCAGTATGGTATCCTCTTCACAGACTTCTATCAGGGACCAGCTGGAAAACAAATAAAAATCTTTTCGCAAGAGCTCTGCCCTGTGGTCAAGGCCCAGTCCTACAGCACAGGGGGCAGGAGGCACAGTCAGTCACAGGTGAACACTGCCAAAGCCAGCTAGGGCCTTTATTGTCACTGTTTGCATTTGTAGTACAAGCAGAAAGGTGATGCTAACTTTAATAGTTTCCTGGTGATACGGCAAGTCTTCGTTTAATCCAAACTGCTGGCCTCTCTTATGCTTCTCCCAAACAACCCAGGGACATTTCCAGGAGCTCGCTTTAAACACACCTGTGCTGCCACAAGTTGGGAGTGAATACAGTGTAGCTGTGTTTAGTTCATCAGGACTCACCAGGCAAACCGATGATTTTAAGAAATGACAGTACACTTGTTTCCAGTTTTTAATGCTTTCTTGTAAAATTGAACATATAAAACAAGCTGAGCAAATGAAAATTTTATATACATGAGGTCAGGGATTAAAAAAAGAATCCTTTTAGTTATTAAAAAAAAAAGAGAAGAATTGACCAGTGATTTAAGAAAAAAACTGATTAAAGGGAGTGACATTCTCAAATGGAAACATACTTTTCAGGGAAAAAAACCCTCTTTACAAGTTTATTATATAACTTACATTTACACTTTATCAAGAGAACTTACAAAACAAGCGGCTTGAAATGCTCCTCATTCCCTTAAAGCATGAATTTCAAAGTGCCACAGCCAAGGAACAGGTTCCAATATTATCTTACACAGGCTATTTGTGTATAAAATGGTTTGGTAAATGTGAGGTGTTTATTTAAATGAGCACGTATAGGGATACAGACTAAATAAAAGTACTTGAACACCTTTGTTATTACATACGCAGTTATAGGTATAGTAAAGGAAGTAAGGTCAACACTGCTCTTAGGTATCTGTATAGATGGGAGGAATGTGATTCAAGCAGTGATCAAAGGCGCCATTTTGGAAAAATCCATTCTCATCGGTTCCATTGGAGACCATGTCTTCAGATACACACTGTGCTTCAGAGACTGCATCATAGCCTGAAAGCGTGACAAGTTGTATGGACATGATTTAGGACCAGTACATATAAGGCAGGAAGCAAAGTTTGAATGCAGTACGGCGTTAATGAAAAGACAATAGGATTTACCATCAAAGCCTTACCCAGGAGATACACAAACTAATCTCCATGGGCACTTGTGTCATAGTGTATGAGGCTCCCATTCATTTCTGCAGAAAGCTACTCATGTTCAAGGGCAGTACAAGTATCAATACGACTCCCTTGAGACTTTACAGTTATTATCAGAATAGGATGGCAAAACAATGAACGGGCACGGATCCTACTAAATGTGTACTAAAAGCGATGTTGTCCTCTTGTTTTGTGTGTTTTTCCTTTTGGAAAATATTCCATCTGTCTCCCAGCTGCTCTTTAGATCTTAGAGAAATTTGGATCCCACATTTGTTGGATCTCCACATACTGCAGAGGTGAGGTCTGTATAGACAAGTGTCTGGGGCGAGTTAGGCTATGGGATGTGCAGAAGGGCCTGTGCACCATGTCTTATTCTTAGCCCACCCAGGCTCACCATGCTGCTGGTTGCTCACCTGTCTGAGTTGAACTTGCAGCTTTCCTTACTTCATGTTGACTGCGTTCACCCCTTGCCCTGTCCTTCTCCATTCAGCACCTGTCCCTGGGTCCAAACTTCTTGCATCACTGTGCAGTTCCTCCTAATACCCCATGGCACTATCTGCTGAGGGCCTGGACAGCCTCCTAAGCCTTCTTCTCCAATCATCTCCTAATCATCAAGCCTTAACTGCCCCCAACCATTGCATGAAATATTGACTCCTTTATGTTACCTGCATACTGTGTTTTACCTTATCACCTGCTTTGGGTTGAGGTTTGAAGATAGTGTCTGGATGACCTTCAACAGAGGGGTCTGACCCTCCGAATCAAGAGCCCGCCTATCAAAATTTAAATAACCACTAGTAGCATTAAGTCAGCTGAGGCAACATATGGAGCAAGATCCTTCTTCCTGCTAAGAACATGCCCATGAACTAACTGCCCGATGGAGAAAATGTCTTACTAATCTCACTCATGTGAATTGCAAGTCAACGTGTGGATGGCTGACCCTCACGGTTAAGGCACTGGGGCCTGGCTCCATTCTCAGCCTGATAGAGGAGACATTAAGAAACAACTTAGTTTTTTTGTGCCCCAGTTTCCCTTCTATAAAATAAGGATGTTTGATCTGTTTCGTGTTTCTTATCCTTTCAGGCTGCTTAACACCACAAGCACCGTGTACCCAGATGTGGCTGAATCTAACTGCACCAGGCTTTAAGTGAGGCCTTCAGGCTGCGTGGCACCTGGTAATGACAGAGCCTGGAGTCCTGAACAGCCAATCCTTATTTCAGAAAGAAATGTCAGCTCAGTCCTTAGAACCTAAGGCGTTTTACTATCTTATACTGGTTTTATTATTAGAGGCAAAATTCTCTACTTATTTACATTTATGCATTTTCCTACCACACACTAATTAAGAGGTGGTTCACGGGTCAAATTCTGACGTCCGTAGAATTCTGGCATGCGGCATACGGCCTAAGTGCCTGAAAGATGAATCCAGCCTGCTTATCTGTGCTGTGCTGTGTATCATCCCAAGTGGAGTGATCAGAATTTTGATGAGATTTGTGTTTATGATATGCTAATTTGTATTTGATGAGTCTGTATACAGGGTGAACACACAACCACAGATGGACAAAACCCAAGATAAGCATACACCTGAGGGATCGTTATTAGATTCCAGATAGAATAAACTACCCAAAGTCCTGAACAGAAAATAAAAATTTATTGACTGTTAATGTAATTCATGGAACAGCTGTTTGCCAGTCACATTTGGCATTTTTGTGAGATGAGAACTCATTTAATATTAACGGTGCTATAAAAGGCTGAAAAAAATTAATAGCTAGCCTTGATGAATCTTGCAAACCTGAATGGTTCTATTTTATACACAAAAAGATGAGCCAAGATTTGTAAACGTTTGTATAATAGATATATAAACATCATTTCATCCACATTTATGCTTCAGTCTCTAAGTATTTGCATACCTCAGTAACCAGTATAAAAATAAAAATATTACAGAGAAACGTTTCATAATAGTTTAGCCCCAGACATAAAAATCAACTGTTGTTGAAGTTGGTGACTTGCCACAGTATTATTCTTTGCTCCTACAATTTCTTTTGGAAAGTTTATTTAGTCTGTTCTTTAAATATTGCAGTCTGTCAATATGAACTTGAAATTTGACGTTAATATGAAGAAACTGTTTTAGTAACATCAAACTTATGAATAACACAAAAGAATTCAAAGTTGAAGTTGAAACTTCATCTTCAACTTTTCCCTTGTGTTAATCACTGATGCATACACTTTCTAGTAAGGAACACGAGACAAATGCATGCACTCTCTGAACAGAGACTCCTTTAATACAAAACAAACAGGAAAGTCAGCTCTAATTTTGTGGTCTGACTCAGGCCCCATTTCAAAGAGCATTTAAACATATGTTTTCAGTATTGTCCCTAGCTGAGATGCTCTCTGAATGCAAACATGAAGAAAAATTTGTTGAGTGACATGTAAGTAAAGAATGGAGTAAATGATGGTATTTCATAGCTCTGACAATACTCTGTTTGATTTCAGTAATTCTATTAATTCTTATTATAGTTTTAAAAAAAGAAAAATGCAAAACTAAGTACTGATTGAAATATCATAGTCTTCTAAATATTGTAACTCACAGAGAATTTTACCCCATGCAAATCCGCCGCTGAACAGGGAAATACAGCTGCAATGAATGTGCAGTACACAAATGGAAAAGAACTTCCAAATGAAAAGGAACTACCAAATACTTTTAGTGGAATTTCTCAAAGCAGTGTCTTTCAATTTTGTAAATATCAGTGTTGTAAAGCAAAGCCATCCGTTTATCCTTATACAGACAGGAAGTTCCTGCTGCTGCTCCTTTCTCCTGAATCTTGCTGACTATGTTCTCAACTACAGTCTGATCAGAAAAACCTGCCTGAGCACATGTGAAGACATGTACAATGAATAGCCCACACAGTAAATGTGTCAGGTCTCCTGAAGGTTTGTGTTCTCTCTGACATCCAGCATAACTAAAGGAAAACCTGCCTGTTAGACCAATATAGAACTAAAGAAAAAAACTGCTTTCCTTGTGGGATTTTTATAGATCCAGATGAATTTCAGTGACTGAGTTTCAAGTGCAAACATATTTTTGTAATAATACTGACTTCAAAATATGTTATTTCCCATCCTGCTAAAAATATCATACAGATAATTTTTTATAGGCAGAATAAATTACCTGTTGAAGCTAAAGGTGCACTGAGTATGTGATAGCCATTATGCCTCAGAGGATTAAAGCAATGGGATTCCCCTGTTAGCACATCACTGGTGACAGACTGGTCCATTGTTCTGTAGCAGTCTCCATAGTGGAAACAGTTTTGTATTGAGTGAAAGCTGCCTTGGTAACCTGAAAACAGATATTGCATACACATTTTAACACTACTGCAATGGTTTTCACTCCATTTCTGTCACAGTATTTCATTACTATTGTGGGTTTTTTCAGTTCCTCAGTTTTAACTATGGAAAAAATGATCACACTATTCTAGAAGACGTAATAATATAAAAGCTGTGTCAGACTCAGTCCCTGTGGACTGTGATCCCAATCTAGCAAAAATGTCAAGGATGTGCTTCCTTTCAGGCAACAGAAGAGACTGGATGAATGAACTCCACAACCCACTTGTGTTCAAAGCTAATAGTGAGTACTTCACTGGATCAGGTCCAGGATAGTAACTCCTTCGGGAAGGATTTTATAATGAATTACTTTTAGTACAATCATGTAATATTTAATTGCTGTCTTTATAGCACAGTAAAGTCTTATCCCATTCATCGTGCTTTATGCACTGCTGGAGAAAGCACTGTTTACTCCAACTTCTTTTAAGAGTACCTTAAACTTCTCCTTTCCCAGATTACTCTTATTTCAAATGAAAACTCTTCCGTGAACACAGAGGGCCACAGTCTGCAAGCAGAATGGCACTGGAGATGCAGGTCTGACTCCACATGGACATCAGGAGAAGACTGTGTTCAGCTAAGAGCAGCATGTCCAACCCACAGCCTGCGGGCCACATGTGGCCCAGCACAGCTCACACTGCCCTGTGTCACCACGGTGGCAGCTCTGCTCTGCCCAGTGGCCCAGCCCAGCCCCTCAGCACCAACCTAACACTGACCACTGGTGCGCTGTGAACCCAGCTGGCCTGAGACCAGGCAATGGGAGGCAGTTCAGTGCCAGCTCAAGTGATGGCAAATAACTCCATGGATTTTGATACATTGGCTAAATGTGAATAGCAAAAATACACAGCCGTGCTTTCCATTTTGATAAAGGAATTTGAGAATGCTGTGTGCTTGAGAGCACACTGGGAGGTTCTGTAAATGCTGAAGGACACACTGGGGCACACAGAGGAGCTCTGGAAGCACTTTAGAAGGCAGTCCAAGGGTCCTGAGAGTGCACTGGGGCTCGCTGGGAATACTATGGCTGGTTCCCCGAGGATAGGCTCTGTGACACCAGAGCGGGGCGTACACCACTATGTACAGTCACATTGGCAGCCCCTCCCGGTGCAGACATGTGGGGCAGTTGATCTCTCCTGTTATTGCTGGAGCTCTGCGAGCTCTGCTCTGATTGACTGCTGCTTTGTGTGTTTAGATTGTTCCTTGAGACAAAACAGGATGAAACACAGCCTGATTCTCTTCCTGTCCATCATTACGTCCACATCTCTATTCACTAGAAAGGGACCCGGCCGTTCCAGTTACCATTACTTGGATGGGGACAGGGACAAAAAACTGGTCCTTCCTGAGGAACAGCTGCTGGTTGACACTGAGTGCCAGACCGCCAACCAGCCTGGGTGGATTGGCCTTCCTTACAGAACTGGATGGGTCCACTACAGGGTCAGCAGGGCTGGCATTACAGAGAGCCTGAAGCAGCAGCCCCTGGGCACTGAGCACCAGGCTTCCAGCTGCCCCTGTAGGTCTGGTCTTTCCCCCTGTCCCAGATGGGTCTGTTACATGGTCAGCAGGACTGGTGTAACAGAGGGCCAGAAGCAGCAGCCCTTGAGCACCGCACTGTCCTGGAAGGTGGAAGTCAGTCTTGGAGTGAATGAACCTATGCATACCTCCAGGTTGCAGTAATGCAGGATCAGGGAGTTGCAATGTCAGTAAGATTTTCTTCATGAGTTTTACTATTCCTTCTATTCTCCCACCTGCTGCTTCAGCAGAACAGTCAGTTTCTTTTGGTAGGAGGATGCTGATGGCCTCCAGTAGCCTGGTATTATTCAAGAGGCCAGTCAGACTGCTTCAGAGGATTTGAGCCTTGTGTAACTTTTACACTAACAAAAAGGGAAAATTCCCAGCTTGTTTAAAGGCTGTATTTCCAAACACCAAAGTAATTAGATGAGATCGAAAGGCCATGTGAGCCAAAGCAACCACAAGGGCTTTTGTAACAACTGGTGCTCTTGCCAGATAAGGTTTTGTGAATTTTACACAACCACAGGACATGAAATTGATGCTTGCAGACAATACAATGTTTACTTTGGATATACAGTACAAGACAGAACTTTACTGCATTTATATATTTTTTAAACATTCAGTATTAACGATGCTTTCGGTTCATTCCATTTCATTGTACAATCATAGAATCTTTGGGTTGGAAAGGACCTTTAATGGTGCCAAGTCCAACCATCAACCTGACCTACTGAGTCCCATCCCTAAACCATGTCCCTTAGTGCTACGTTCACGCATCTCTTAAGTATTGCCAGTGATGGTGACTCCACCACCTCCCTGGGCAGCCCATTCCACTACTTACCCACCTGCCTTGTCACCTGAGAAAAGAGACTGAAATCTCTTCTGAAAAAAGCATTCTGTGATTCTCTAGCTCTCCCTGCAACCACCCTTCAGATACTTGCAGAGAAGGACGAGGTCACTCTTCAGCCTCCCCTTCTCCAGACTGAACAGCCCCAGTTCCCTCCGTCGCTTCTTTGTAAGCCTTGTTTTCCAAACCCCATTTTGTTTCAGTTCCTTTCGGTTTTCTGAAATGCTTTACTTCTGCCTGGCTTACCTCCCATGCACCTATCACAGAAATATGAGGACCTGACATACAATTAAAATCTCATATCTCATGGTTCAATTAGCAACCACAAATAGTTGGCTAGCGAAAATTAAGCACGGAACATTTTTTACAAGTTCTTACAAACTCTCTCCAGTGGTTAAAATATGAAGTAAGCAAGAAGGCTAGTCTGGTGTAAACAGCACTGCTCCTGCCAGGAGAGCAGAGAGGAGCACCAATTTGGCAAGTGCTTCACTAATATTTTTTTTCCACATGGATTTCAGGTTTCCCTTCACTTTGTTTGATTCAAATCACATTTTCTGAGCTCCTGTCAGTTTAAACGAACGCTATTACATGTTCTATGTACAGTACAGGTAGAAATATAACAGTTAATACAGGAATAAAGTGAATTCCACGTGTAATGTGTAGCTAAAATTCTGCTTTGAAATAACCTGTGACACAAAAACTGCAGTTTGCCACTTCACACAGTGCACCAGCTGCTTCTGTAAGGCACAACCTTAAAACTTTAAGCAGCTTTAAAATGAACGATGTGATGAACAAATGATTGGGATATGTCCATTACGTGCCATCTTATGTCATTCCCATGGATGTACAAATAAGTTCTTCAGACTGCATACAATTTCTGAGGAAAAAGCTTGTCAGGTGTAACTAACTACAGGATTCTACTGCCTGCCAAATTATTTCAGCATATGCTGATTTCCGTGTGATCTTACCACAACCAGACTTAAACACATAAACATTGCAGCTTATTACTCTTTCATTATCAGTATTTCTGCTACCAGCTCGATGCAGCGCTGTCTTGTGAAAACTGCAGATCCACACTATCTATATACTTCTATACAGGCGTCTACTTCTGCAGCTAAACTTACATAGCATTCCTTTTTCAGCAGAAATTCAAAGCTCACAAATCTCTGAGGAATCCATTAGAAAAACGTGTTGTTAATGAACTCAGATGCAAAAAAGACTTAAAGCAAGCAGAGCTAAATACAGGTTACAGAGCAAATGATTTCAAAGGCTGCTAATCAAAATTGATTTTTGAATGACCAATTCCATTATGAATTTATAATAATACTTCAACATTTGGCCAAAGTGGAAAATTATTGCTTTTTCAAAACCTACGACATAACGCTTAGAAAGCAGCAATTCATTCAAAAGGAAATATGGTTCTCTTAAGGAATAAAGTCAATTTATTTAAGTGGTTCAAAACTTGTTCTGTCTATGCATTTGTTTCTGCCACAGTAATGAGCTGCTAAACTTTCCTCTTGTGGTTTGTAGTTATTTAGCTCATTATAGTAACATAATCATGTATCATTATGTGCTATCATAAATCTGCCACTTTTCCCTCACAGAGTTAATCTTTTAAAATTGAGTAATCTGTTGAGCATCAGGTTGAGTTAGTTTTTCCTTTGGCACAAATCATTTAATATAATCTGCGTTAACTTTTCAGGCTAAGGCCTTCCAACTAAAGAGCAAAAATGGTCCTCAGGGACTGGAGGGCAGAGGGAAGTGTTGGGATACGGAACCTCATTACAGCTGCAAATTGTGCTAAAATCCTGCACTGCCTTAGAATTTATTCAGAGGAGGCAAAGCTCCCCTATTACCCACAGGTAAATTAATCCTATGTAATCCTCCATCACCCAAGAACGACCTTATGCAAACGACAGTACAGCAGCGAAGAGAGTTTGAAAAAACTGGTTATCTGCCTGTACAAACTCACATGCTTGGTTACACTTGCAACCAGACAGATGTCCTGCACACTTCTTCACTGTGAATGTTCACCACACTTCAGCAGCATACCATCTGGATTACGTAACATGTTTCTTACGTATGCAAGCTTCTGCTACTGGAAGAATCTGTGTTAATCGTATCACTTGCTAATTTATACCTCAAAAATTGTACAGGTACCACAGCAGAACTCAGGCATAGGAAAAGAAGCTACCATTAAAAAGGCTGGGTAATTCAGAACAAAAAAGTGCTTTAAATTAAGCAGTGGGATAGCTGCTAAACTGCTGCCACTCCTGCCCTCAAATTACACTGACACTCTATAGCTCTGCAGAGCATCTTTACTACACATAACAATATATAAACAAAACTGCTGAATATCAAATAGGAAAATAATCTTTCTTTATCCAAGATCACAACTGGTACCATCGGATAGAACAACATCAGTGGATAGAACAGAACACTGCCAAAGGGTGCACCTCTTCATTTGTTTTAGCATGCAAGCTAAAATGACTTTTGATGTGGCAGACTCACTCTCTCTAAACTGGATGAAGGCTGGATATTCAGTCAGGTGAGGTGTGTAGCTGGTAGGCATCTACTGCCTTGTGAGAGCAAACCTCTGACAGTCAGGGAGTGAGTCAGCACTATTTCACTTGATCTTGGAATCAGAGTGATCTGTGGGCATAATTTGTTCTTGCAAACACCTTTTTGTGACCACATCCCAAAAAGAAGCTGAATAAATGCAATACATGTGCTGCTGAGATACCCTTCCCTGTCATAATATGATATCACAGTTAAAAATGCTCTGGAATTTTGACTCTGCCTCAGTAAAAGCAGGTTAAAAGTCGGAGTTCCCATTGGAACGCTGTCAGACCCTTAATATGATAACTTGAGCAGAAAATGCAAAAACTGAAGTAAATTAGTTTTTCCCAACTAGGAATCAGAAAAGTTGAAAAAGAAGAAAGGAAAAAGAAAGGAAGTTACCTTGAGATCCCTGCTGTACAGACTGATTTTGAAATTGAGCGTACGGTTTATTTGGTATTCCAGAAAACTGCTGCCCATTTGGTGATTGGCTGTGCGACGATGGAGAGCTGTGTTTCTGCAGTAGGGAAGGTGGAACTAATGATTTCAGGGGGCTGACAAGTGGAGAGATTATGTTGGGAGCCAGCCTAGAAAAAGAAAATTCAGAAAAACTTCACATATCAAATATGGGAAAATGAAATACTTGAAAGGTCCTACATACATGACAGCAAGATTTGAGAAACATTTATTTTGCAGCTATAAATTATGCCGTAGAAGAACGATAACAATGCATTGCTGCTTTCAGATTTTCATTAGCAGGGAAGGCAGTTAGAAAATGATTTATGTTTCTTTACACTGGCTTCCTGTACTAATCGTAGTGACAGAATCAAAATGACATCACTCCTCAGAAAGCAACTGAGACACGGGTCAGCTTTAATTTGAAATTTTGTAAGCCGAGAAACACGTCCAGAAACAGAAGTGGAGAATAAGTCAGAATAAGTAAAAGCATGTAAATTGTTTTCAAGTGCCTCAGTAGTTGTACTGGGTAAAGCTTTCTACCCGGGTTTCAGCCAAGACAAAGAAAAGCATTAGTTTTCAATTATTCCTCATACAGTATTTTTTAGACTTCACTGCAAGAAATACAGAATTAACTGTAACAGCTGGCACTGTCCTTTCAAAGAAAAGGCCTGAATAAGGGTTTGCTTGTGGCAGCAGCTCTCAGAGTAAAACTGGGCAGGGTGGAGCCTGAGAGATGGAAATTCCCCATGGACAGCCAGGAGTCGGGCCAGCAACAGGAGCGCTGGGACAGCCCTGCTGGGGGACAGACCCCGACCCGTGTTCCCACAGCAGGCTGGAGCAGCTGAAGAAGAGCCTCGCTGGCCCTCTGCCATGAAATCCCTGGGCTGTGCTCCACCACTGGCAGAGAGGTTTCAATGCTTCCCCTGGCCATAGAGTGCCCCCGGCCCACCAAGGCAGGTGCAGCAGCTGGCCCACGTGGAATGAACCATATGCAGGAGAACTCTTCTGGCCGTTCAGACAGAAAGATGTCGTGGTGCAGGAGACATGACCAAAAATCTGGTCATTCAGGCTTAAGCCTCTTTTATAGCTGCATTAAATTAACCCTGCAAATGAGTAACTTGTTATAAACTGGACCTTTTCACTTCCTACTATAGCTGTGACAAATGGTTTTTTGCTAAATAGCCCAGGGTTGCACTTCAAATGTGGGGTCTGCTTGGAGCAAGCTTTCAGCATGTTCAAATTTAACATGTAGGCAGAGGAACACTGCCAAAAGCTGTCACAGTGGCATAGTGTCACAGTGATGCTTATTAACAGGGCTTTAAATAAATCAACCGGTCAAAGCCAATCCTACGATGAAATAACTCCACCACCTCAAAACACAAAAATAAGGCACGCAATACAGACTGCAGAGAGATCAAATTTCCCCAAACTAAACTGAAGAAATAAGCAAGTATTGTTAAATGGTGTATGGGAACTGCTGAATCACAGCCTGAACCTGTGATGGATCACCTGAGCACTGAGTCAGCCACAGGAGCACAGGTGCAGGCAGTTCACCTGTGCTGCTGGAAGGGGCAGAGCCTGGCTGCACCTCTCCTAGACCCATTTAACAGCTGACTGCCAGTAGGAAAGGGTCTCTTCTGGAGATCCCTCCTCTGGAGTTTCATAGCGAGCCCAGGATGTGGGTAAGCTTTCCATCTATTCTCTTTTTGTTATTATAATCTGCTTTGCCAAACTCTCTTGTGTATTTCATAATTATAACATCTTTATATTCATTGGCTATACAAGTGGATTAAGACATTTTCAAGCCAAATATCTAAAGACTGGATAACAAACCTTTTGTGAGAAACATAATCCTCATAAGCGAAGGTCTGCAACGCGTACAGATAACTGAAGCAGAATTATAAAGCCAATATGCAAATACAATCTTAGTAGTCTGTGGGGTTTGTTTGCTTGTTTTTGTTTCAGGGTCATATTAAAAAGAGCTCTGCAGCAAAAACTTAAGAAAAGCTCAGGCTGCAGACACAGCAGGAATGAGGGAGTGGGGCTGCAGCAAGGCGGGCAGTGCAAGGTCAGCGGTGCCCTCATCAGGTCCCAGGCTGAAAGTGCTCTCTGGAGCCAGCTCTGCTGAGGACCAGGTGCCCTGGGGAAAATATCGAGTTTCTTTGCAGCTAAATTCAAAGATCAGCTCCCATGTGGCTGTAGTTTTCTCCTGAAATGACTCAGTGGAGAAACAGTAAACAAAACTATCTGTCATGCTGCCCGGCTACATGATGGATCTTCCACAAATTCTCTCCAACATGTGTCAGTGGTGAGGACTGCATGCAGATGGGGCTGCCTTTATCTGCTGGAACCTGCAGAAAAGCATTGCTGCAGTTTCATCCAATGCTGCCAGGGAGTGCTGGCAAAGCATGACCACAAGTGACAGAATGGTCACCAGCCCATTCAAATGGCACATGGAGACATTGTCCTTGACATGCCAGAAATGCTAGCAGAAGCCAGGAAATACTTCTATCTGAAAGCAGATTAAAAGATTGCAGTTGTTTTCTTTGGAAGGATAACAGCTAAAAGAGATCATGATAGTGACATTTATATGGATAATGACCACACACACATTTTGAAGAGAAACAAAAGATGTAGTGAAGACTCCAAGGCTGGACGAGCCAGAAACCACTCTGAATGAGGGAGGAAAATAGTTTTGGTGAGCAGGCACTCTGCGCCTGCTCTGGGAATGCCATGTGCTGGCCACTGCTGGAGATGCAGCCCCATGCGGGCCTGCCTGGCTGCTCTGTACTGAAGGCTTTGTTTGCCCTGTGGGGAAATTGCATTTTTAAATTCTGTGCAAATATATTGCACAGCAGAAACAGTACATTAAAGTTGTCTGGCTGTGGGAATTCTGAAAAAGCCAGCTTCCCCGTTTCGCTCTTCCAAAAGGTTATTTAAATCTTAACCCTGTGAGACGAATTGAATGGCTGTTGTGATTATTTTAAAGCAGTGCTTGTCCCCACTCATTCTTTCGCATTCTTGTTTTTCCTGTGTATGAGCTCAATGGTTTTGCCAGGGTTTGTGCCTCAAAGCTTTGCAATGGCTTGTTGCAGGAGGGAGGCACGCCAGCGCCTTGCCAGGAGGCAGCAGGGTGAGGAGGTGTGGGGCTCTGCTCCAGCCAGGCAAGCTGTGCTGCCAGCTCCCTGCTTCCACTTGCTTTGCCTGCATGGTGCTGGGGCTCAGCAAACATTGCTGCCTGCAGGCAGCCAGTATCCTAGTAACTTGTAGTGCAGCAGCTTGGGCTGAAACCCTGAGAGCTCTGTGTAATGCTCAGCTCTCTGCCTTCTCCATGTGAAGGGTTTCATGCAGTTTGAGCAGGTAACCATGAATCTACTGCTTTCTCCTCAGTCTCTCCCATGTATGGGATTTCACATTAAGTTAGGGAACAGTTTTTAGCTAGGAAAGAGCATTGCTTAGCAGAAAAATCTGTATTAGCACAAGTGGCCAATATGGGAATTTGCCTCCTTAAAATAGCCATCACAATGCCGACAGCTCAAGCTGGCCCCTAAAATATTGTTCTCTGTGTGCACATGTATTCTGGCAGACTCAAGAAGTTTTTCATCAACTGACTGTCCAGCCACCAGTGCCCTGCCTTTAATTCTGTCCTAAATGTTTGTCTACTAATCGTGTCACTGTGATAACTCAGGTTGTTAAAGGATAAGCAGAATCATTCCTGATAGAAATTAAATCACTTAAAAGGAGATGCCTTTTGTATGGAAGGGGAAACATTGAACTACTTAAGCCAGAAACTCAGCTGGATACATCAAAAATTCCAAGGCAGTAGCTCAGGCATATGTTTCAGTAACTAACAGCCTGTACATTTCCTGTTAACGCTGTACTACAATCACAGTTTGCTTTGGTTTGTATATTAATAATAAATATATGCCCTATATTTTATTTCAATTGTAACTTGCATAACTCAGTAAGTCTGCAGGTCCTTTTGGGGCCTTTTAAGGTATATCTGTGCATATATATATATATATATGCATATATGTGTATATATGTATACGTATATATATATGTATATATATATATATATAGTTGGCAGCTTATAGATAAATACGCATACATGAAAAAAATCCTTAATTCATTAAACTTAAGGCTCCTAACTATCCTGATTCTTTCTGTCTGAGAAGATGCATCTTTTTCCTATCTCACTAATGCTACTGACAAAGCTAAGACGAACAGTTCTTACAGCTTGCTTCCACTGCTGATCTAGTTGGACTGTCAATACACTCCACCTTTCTATAAGGATGCTTGATGATAAAGCGCTTTCGTTATCTCAAGTAACAAATCAAAACACTGCAAGGCTTTTAGTGTTCCACTATGTCCTTTAGGAGAAGGGTAACATCTTAATCATGCTCTTACCTTATTCCTATCTATTTCCCAGTATAGACACTAATGATGTTCCTAGCTGGATTTCCTCTCTGATCCAGCAGATTTTTAGTTGCCTACTGATGGAATTGCTGTTGCTAAAAAACGTTCCTGGATGTGATACATGGTGCAAGTAGGAAAGTCTTTTAATCTCAAGACTTTTGGTGACTTTGGACCTAATGATAGTAGGTGCTTCTCAGTATCTTGTGTGTTTCTTAGGAATAGCTTGTGGATTCACAGGAATCTGTAGGCTGGAAACTTCTGCTGTATTTGTGGTGCTCCCTGGGTGTGTTTCTGTATGGCAGTCAGCACTGCGGTGCAGTGCCCAGAAATCCTCCTAGCCTGGAAGGAGTACCTGTGATGGATACATGTCTCAAGCTTTGCTTCATATGGTGAACACCCTAACTGGAGGATACATTGTCCAAAACCTGGAAGCCTTTGCCTCCTTATCTCCTGTTCTCCTCTAACTTCTCTGGGTCCCCATGGTACCAAAACAGCATCTTCAGTACTTCATGCATCTCAGACAAAAGTGCTGCTGCTTAACAGTTACAAATAACTGGTAGCACCACGGCCCAAGAGGCTCATGTTGCACACCTACCTGGTCTGAAGGGAGGTGCTAAGGAGAATGTTTACTTGTGATCTGGATAAAGCAAGGGAGAACTGGTGACTGTTCACTGAAAATACTTCTGTTTCCTGGCAAGCTACTCAGGTGCTTGCAGAAAACTCAAAACAGATCTGAATATACTCAATGTAGACAGCAGGATGCAAAATGAAACCAAATCTGGAGAAATTAGAGATATTATGCATCAACACTGCATACAGAAGAGCTGCTTTCAGTTTTGATGTATTAAATCACTGCAGGAGTTAAACCAGCTGAAGAATACTAGAATAGTAAGAGTGAGAGAGGTTTCTCAGCAAGTCAAATTTCCTAAGCTATAAGTGTGGCGCTGAGGAAGTGAACTTGAAACACAGCTTTTCAGAATGCAGTGGCATGGCAGAGGAGCCAGCCTCCTCTCCAGCCTGCTGAAGACACAGCAGTGGCAGGGCATTCACCACTGGGAGAGGCAGGCTGGTTTCAAACAAAAGGAGCACTTTCTCATGCAGCATGCTCTGGCCTGGGGCAGTCATAGCCGCAGGAAGTCACGGAATCAAACAGTCGAGATAAGTGCTGTAAAAACGGGCTGAATAATTTAATGGCCAAAACCAACATTTCCATGCTAAGCAAGAGGTAATCAAATCTTGTGCTTCAGGATGTAAACTGATCGCCCAAGAAATCAGAGAGGAATTCTCACTCTTCACTCATCATACAACTTCACGCGATTGACCAGGTATGGAGGGTTTTTTCAAACTCCCTTTGAAGCACCATGTGTAGGATGGCGCTGAAGACATAATACTGGTCTTGAGGGACCTATGATTTCAGATGGAACTGCAAGTCTAGTGCACTGCTCTCCTGAGGATGCATCAGTAGGCAGTTAAGTAAAAAGACTAGTCAGAAAAGTCTTGTTTTTGTAATACCATCATCCACAGAATGGTATTGGAAGAACTGATCCTGAGTTGATAACATATCTTGTCTATAATGCCGCAAACATTTCTATACTGTGTTAAACATTATCTTAAATCGCTTGATTTCATGGCCCTTCTTAAGTAAGCTCCTGAAGTCCGATGAGAAGAACTATCTATGAAGAACCACTAACACAAATGGCAGACACAGACCAGGAGCCACTTCCTCACCTCTGCTGCAAAGCATCTGCCACTCACAGCAGTGGAAACACAGAAATCTCAACCTTAACAGATGGATTTTGTTAAATTAAAAATCAAAATATAGAAGATATTAATCTATGTCCTCTCATTTTTAAAAAGCACAGATCTTTAAGAATCTCAAAGAGAAGTCTCAACAAGACTTAAATTTTCTTGTGATTGTTTTAACATTTATTATAAGTGTTAAGATTAAATCATAAGAAAGATGTATGTGAAGGAACTATGTAGGAATGCTGTGAGTTAGCAGCAATCTCTACCAAAGACTTTGTAGGCTACAAGTACTGTTAGCTTGCTTTATGTTTACTTGTCCTGCCTCTGGTTCTGGTTTCTCCTAGTAGACAGCAGTGCATAAAAAATTGTGTATTTTCACAATGCATGCAAAATGTCATGTTCCAACAATCTTGAAAAATAAGGAACCCATAATAAATGCATATGGAGATGGATTTTTTTCTGACCTTTGTGTCAAGATGGAAGTATGTTCTCTATATTCATCCACAGTACTCAGTCT